CCAGGCACCGCCGCCGCCACCCCCTCTCTCCAGTCTTGCGCCGCCATGCTGCAAGCCTGGGAGGGAGGAGGAATGCTGGGGAAGAGGCGGGGCCGAGGGCGGGGATTTGGGGAGGGAGCCAATGGGGGAAGGAGGGGGCGGAGCCGGGGCGGGGGGGCCCGGAGCGCCGGAGCGGAAGGGAAAATTTCTTCTTTGTCCAGTGTCCCGACCAAACATTGGTCGGGAGGCGGGACAAAGAAGCAAATATCGGGACAGTCCCGATAAAATCGTGACGTCTGGTCACCCTAGTTGAAAGACTAAAGGAGAAACTACTGTTACATAAACAAATTACACTGGAATTATCAGTGAAAATATTTGGATTATTAAACCTCTTTCTTTAATGCTACACTTTCCCGCTTACTCTCAATTAAAGCAGAACAGTTTTTCTTTACAATGAGAATAAAGAAGTGATCATCTTTCACGGCTGAGAACGTGTTACTCACTATTCCTCTGATGACACTCAGACTAAGCCGTGTGTTGATAATGGCCCTGTGCACATTTGCTTCTGGGTAATAACGGCACCTACCAGCAGTTCATGGCTTTTATTTTCCCCACTCAATTTAAATGACAGAATCGCGTCTCTCGCTTTCTTCAAAATCACCAAACGGCTCCGGATCTGGTCCTAACAAAAGAAAACCTGGTTTAGTTTTGGTTGTTTTTGGAGGATTTCCCGCCACTTATTTATATTTGCAAGAATATCAAATACATAATAAAATGGGTGAGTGCTCTAATCACATGACTATACAGTCACTCTCATACTAGCGGTCTCTCTCTCTCTCTCTATCTCTGGCCCAGATGACTCTTTATCCCCAGTGGAATAGCTTCTCCAGGGAAGAGGGAGGGAGCCCCATGTCACAAGAGCCCATGGTTAGGGCACTCCCCTGAGAGATGACAGATCCCTGTTCGAATCTCTTCTCCTCATCAGGTGGAGGAGGGACTTGAATCAGTGTTTCCTACTTTCCAGCTGAGTACCCTAACCCCTGGGCTAAAAGTCAGGAGGGAGGCTGCCTCTGTGTGTAGCAGCTTAGGGGGCCTGATCTGGCAGGTCTGCTCAGAGGCCACCTACCTGGTTGGGCCCCACACTCTACCTAGGCAGCCGAACGCCTGTCTTCCTCCAGACTGTGAATGGCTCTAGGGCTTAGGTGGGAAATAGGCGTCCGGATGCCTAGAGGGAGGCAGCCATGTCTCCAGTAAAAGCTGGAACGAGCCAGAAAGGCCCAGAACAACATTTTAGTCAATGTTGCAAAAACCAGCAGGTGCTTTTACAGACAGTTAAGAGCAATATTTTAGTGATGAGAACAGACTCATAACACATTGTACTCCTGGGGGAATTCTGCGCCACTGCGCAATGCAGGATTTTGCAGAAATTAATGTTGGACATGCAAAATTTCCTTTTCCCCCCACAGAAATGGGCTGCAGAGATATTGGCCACCACTAGGGGCTGCTGGACTTGGCAGAGCCCAGCTCACAAATAGAGACAATGCCACGGGGAGGGAACTGGAGTGTTCCCAGCAGCTGTTGCAGTTCCCAGCACGCCCCGCGGGAAGGAAGGGGGCAGGAGCAAGCAGGAAACTCTGTGCAAGCCGGGACCCACCATCAGGCTGTTTCTCCTTCTGGATCCCTGGGCTGTGGAGAGGTCGGGTCTGTGAGTGTCTGGCCTGGGGGGAACCTTGCAGCTGGGCTCTGGGGGAAGAGGGGGGTCTGAGTGTCTGGGCCGGGGAGGGCTCCACAGCTGGGCTCTGGGGGGGAGAGGACAGAAATGATACTCACAATACAACTGAGAATAATGCTGTACTACAGAACACCGCTGACAACCCACCTGTTCAACAAACAGCTTTATTCATAAACCACCCGCAGACTCAGCTCCGAAGTGGCTCACGGGACCAAAATAAAGGGCAATGGGTGGAACGGCATTTTAATAAATAAAACTGATTTGAAACACCTCCGCGGAAACAGATGACATTGGGAGCGTTATTGTAGTCATGAGAACTGATTCACAGCTGACTGTCATTAACCCATTCCAGCCCAGAACCACTTTAAAACCAAGGAGGAGCCTGAACCGTCAGTTCTGAAGTGGCTCAGACCAGTTTTACATGCAGCACATACAGGGGAGACTGATACAATGCTAATGAGAAACTCGTCTGAACCGACCTTTAACCCGGGTTTTGGGGGATAATTCGCTTTATTACTAAAACCACCCAGAT